GAAACTCTATACCATTAAATAATTCCCCATTCTCCCCCCTTCCCCCCCCCCCCCCCCCCCAGCAGCCATCAACCTACTTTCTGTCTCTATAACAAATTTGGCTGCTCTAGGTACCTCACATAAGTGAAATCATACAGTATTTGTCTCTTTGTAATTGGCTTATTTCACTTAACATAATGTCCTCAGGGTTCATTTATGTTGTAGCATTGTCAAAATTTGCTTTATTTTTAGGGCTGAATAATACTCCTATTCCATGGTGTATGTATATGCTACATTTTGTTTATTCATTCATCCACAATGAACACTTGCGTAGTTTCTACGTTTTAGTTATTGTCAATACTGCTATGAACATGAGTGTACAAATATCTTTTCAAGACCCTGCTTTAAATTATTTGGGGTATATACCTAAAACTGAAATTGCTAGATAATATGGTAATTCTATTTTTAATTTTCCATAGTATCTGCACCATTTTACATTTCCACCAACTTAATTTTAAAACAACCCTAAAAGTCTGTCATCCCTACATTACAATTGAGAAACTGAGACCCAGAGGAATTACGAAATTTCTTAGCTTCCAAATTTGATAAAAGACAATCCAGGATAGGAAAAGGGCTATTTAAGAAGGAAGACTCTGGAATCCATGGACATCTGCATTCAAATCCCAAGCAGTCTTCTGAGGGCCAAGAGCCCTTGGACGCCTTACGGAGGTTCCTCAAGTCTTTGTCTGCTTACCTACTAATGAGAATGATTACCTTATTCTGGTCCTATTGGGAGTGGATTAAATGAGATTACCCCGAAAGGTATTTATGCTTATCACATAGTAAGTATTCAATAATTAAGTCCTGAGCAGATAAATTAAGCTCCTTGGTTAGTTTAAATAAGTACAAGTGTTTATTCCTATAGATTCTTCATGTAGTTGTCTAATTTAAATTATTTGGTGTTTATTCCAGTTATACTCTCCCAAACTGACATCATTGCCCAGTTGTTCTGTATCCATTGTGGGCTGTTCTAGGCTCTAATTGCTCCATAATAGTGACCAAGAAATTATTCTTTCCTCGGAATGTTAAAAATTGCCTTGCATAAATTGACTATTGGTGGAAGTTATCCCTCGTTGTTGTATGAGTATTCCCAACAACAGCAATTTTATTTCTAAGGTGACAGGTACTATTTCAATAGTTTAAGGTGACAGGTACTATACTATTTCAATAGTCTTTACACAAATAGTCACTGAAGATTCTGTGTTGTACTTTGGACTTTGGAACAGTTCCAATTACCTTGAGGTTCACACTTGAGCTGGTTAAAGCAACGAAGCAGGAGAAACAAATCTTTATCCACCTTCCATCTCATGTGTAACTAAGGTGACAGGTACTATTTCAATAGTCTTTACACAAATAGTCACTGAAGATTCTGTGTTGTACTTTGGACTTTGGAACAGTTCCAATTACCTTGAGGTTCACACTTCAGCTGGTTAAAGCAACGAAGCAGGAGAAACAAATCTTTATCCACCTTCCATCTCATGTGTAATATCTGTCCAGCCCGACCTGAATCAGAAACAGAACTGGAAATTATTGAAGCAGTGTAGAAAAGCATTTGGAAGTTTTGTAATTTTTTCTCCCCCAAGCTAGTAGCCATGTTTAAACAGCATTGCTTATACTTAAAGGGAAGAAAGACAAAGCATACACTCAATTAGAGGTTCTCAACAAAGGAAACCATGTGCTAATTCACAGGCCTTATTTTAATCCATTCACATTTTTTGAGCCTAGTCAATTTTAAAACTTGTCCAGTGATATCAGGCACTTGCTATAAATAAATAAAAATATCACCATACCGATTTTAAACTTTTCTCATAAATGTGTTTAGGGGAATATACATTTATTGCTGTATTTATAGATTATGAGAACAAACTATAAAATATGTGAATAGTAAACTCCCTTCAGAAAAGGCTGCTTGCAAGTGAGATATAGGCAGTTTCATCCAGTCAAATGGCTATTGCTAATATGGGCAAAGCTGCTCAGATCTAATTCAACCAAGAAACTGCTAAACATGAATGAAGCAGGATGAAATGCAACGCTTCTTGTTGTCACTGCTCAGGACAGATCAGAAAAGTGCAAAGATAGGCAGAGAGATGCAACTGATTTTTAGTAGAAGACAGAGGTCCAGCCTGAGAGAAGGCAGGAAACCACTGTGCTGCACAAATAAAAAATTTTAAGTTATTTATTGAGGGAAATGTCTGAACAAGGTAAGCAACTAATTCTTTACAAAATACACCTTAGATATTCTTTCGATTATACACAAATTCAGAACACAATAAACAATAAAAAGACAGATGACTCAATACAAATAAAGAGAGTTAAGCAAATACTTCACAAAGGAAAGTACATAAGTGGCCAATAAAAATATGAAGAAGTTCTCAACAACATTAATCATTAAGGAAATGCAAATCAAAATCACAATGAGATACCTCTATACACACATTAGAATAGGTAAGATTTAAAAAAAAGACTGGTAATGCCAAAATGTTGGTGAGAGGGTGATACAATCAGTACTTTGATAGGTTGCTGCTGGAGATGGAAAATAATACAACCATTGTTTATTTTATATTTTGCATAAAAATGACATGTTTAAAAAGGAAAAACTGAGGGAGAGCAGATATACATAGTGTCTAATATAGGCATGTGTAGAAATAATATAGGTTAGCCTAAAGAAACCTGTAAATAATGTATCATTAATTTTGTCTTAATCTAGTTCAGTGTTGCAGTCTATACTCCTCCTTGAAGTCCAAATTGAGGGATTTTACTCAAAACATATTTAAATGCAACATAAGTCTAACTCCTCTGATGAAGCAAAGTCTATGTCATGAATTATTACTTGACTTCATTTATCTCCCTGGAATCATTCGTACTTTTAAATATTTCCGTTTATTGACCTCAGTAAGGAACAGTTGATTGCTTCTCATTCATTACTCACTTTAGGGAGGGCCTTTTGGGAGCTCTCCTGGGTTGTTAGTCCTGTGAAAGTCTGAGAAAATATAAAAAAGATGTGGTAATATCCATTCCTTCCATAAGCTTATCATCTAGTTGAGGAGGCAATTGCCTGAAATCATCATTATTGCAATAATTTCTTACGACTAAGGTGTTTTCTCCAAGGGAACCTGTTAAAATAAAAATATTTTGAGATGTGGGAAAATATGGAATAATTAAAATGCCTTAAGTGGTGTATTTCACATCAAAAGAGGTTTAGATGTTTTCTATAGGAAAGAATGCACTGGAAAAAAAGTTGAAAAAAAGACTTTATGTTTTCGTCATTGAATGAAAAAGGAACCCATAAGACTAGTGTTTTCATACCCTTAAGAAAAGAGAAAAGAAAACTGGGGCAATAAAATTAGCATGTTTCTATCACCAACTCCAAATAAGGGTCTTTACAAACACAGCCTTATACGGGAAACTTATTACAACCCTTAACATACATAAAAGGAATTTGCTCCTTCCTAAGTTCATTTGGCTACCAAGGCAACAAGCAAGAAGTGGCAGTTATTCCTCATTTCTGTTGTTCCCACTGCATAAGAGGTTTTACCAACATCTATGTCTTCCATCTGTATCCACGAAACTCAAATCTCAGTGTTCGGAACTGGCTAACTGTAGAAAATACTCTTGTGGTTTCTGAAAATGTTGTCAGAGGTAGGGTCCGGGGGTCCTGGTAGTCAGCCTAGATCCACCTTGTCCTCTTACCATGTTCTTGACTCTGCCACAGGAAAGATTCAAAAGCAGAGTCACAGTAGAAAATGAGAACAACATTAATATAATGAGTAAGAATACATGTTTCACAGAGACAGTGTGCCTAGCTCCAGAGACTGAGCAGGACCCACACCAGGTTTAACACAAAAGCAAGAAATGCATACTTTTTAAAAAAGTTCAGTATAGAATGCAGGCTGGCTCAAGAGAGTGACCAACTGCTTGCTGAAAGTAAGTTTGGTACAGAAGGAAAGAGATACACACTCTACAGACGGACTGTGGGCTGGCTCCAGGAGAATGAGCAATAACCCCACATTCTGCTGGGATTCAGCTTTTATAGTTTTGCCATCTATTTAAGGGGGTGGTTCCCGGTCATGTTACATAGTCTTGCACATGCTCAGTTGGTCCCCTTTGGAGCATGTTCTTTGGTCAAATCCTGTCACATGCACCAGGCATGTTCAAGAATATTCTGTGCTCTCTAGCATCTCTAGTGGAAGGTCATTCACCTACCAGGGTTAGATAACCCTTCTCTACTGAGCATGCCCAGCCACTGGATTTGCATAAGCCAGCCCCCTGTGGTCTACCAGGCATGTTCAAGAATATTCTGTGCTCTCTAGCATCTCTAGTGGAAGGTCATTCACCTACCAGGGTTAGATAAACATTCTCTACTGAGCATGCCCAGCCACTGGATTTGCATAAGCCAGCCCCCTGTGGTCTCATTTTCCTCTTGCTGGTGCTGAAAATAAGTCTAACTGGCAATAGTAGCTTTCCTATAGGGGAGGGCTTAGAGAAGAGGCCTGAGACCTTGGGGAGTGGCTTGAAACCCAGAGGCATGTCCTGAAACCCAAGCCCAGGGAAACTCAGCACCTCCTATCTCCAAAAAGACTGCAAATTTTAGCAGAGATATCATGAAAGCATTAAAATGGAAAGCAAATAAAACAAAATGAAACTGTGAAAAGTAGTGGAATAATACACTGTTGGACCCTGTGGGATCAGAAGATTACATTCTACCACATTTTTCCTTTAGTTATAATCTTTATCCCTAGATCAATTAAATATATACATAATACTAAGAGTTACATTTCAGTAGTTTGGAGATAACTTTCTGAAGAATGACAAAATTGTGGTCTATAATATACCGCATTGTAATTAACTGAGCAGAATCCCATACTTTGGTAGGTAAACCTATTTTACCATCTAGTGGTAAAATCTTAAAACGCAGATGCAGACTCCCTGAGTCCTCAGAAGGAGCTAATTCATGAATCCAGAAAATGCAACGAATAGTACACAGTGAGAAATAATGTCACAGGCAGAACAATATCCTTCTTTTAGGAAGGATCCTGTGGACTAAATACATTCAGCCAAGTTCTCAGATGTATGCAGATAAAGCTAGATCATAATAAAGCTTGATAAAAGCATGTTCACGCATTAGATGTTCATGCATGTATACTTCATGAAAGTGTGAGGAATGTTACCTTTGGAGCTGGGTGGGAAATAGTTCACTATTTTTATTCAAATTCATATCAATGGTTTAGAGATATGCTTCCTGAATTAGCACTGGAAAAACATTGATGCCCATAAAATGGTGGGAAGATTAGAATAATGGACTATGACTTAGATACAAGTTCAAGGATGGTTCTCTCCTGAGGTGAGAAAACCACTGAAAACATGGCATGATGGACTCAGCCATTCTTTTCATGTTTCCTATAATTCTGATGCTAACTCATCATTCTAGTAATCCTTTACCATCTTTCCATGGAAAAGAACACTGATAAATTGCAAAAACATCAATAGGTACATAGTGGCATATTAATCTATGAACGTAGATTCTTTTGGGTCAGGAGGGAATATAAATGACTAGGATAGAGAATAAGTACATTATTTATCCATCCTACACACTTTCTCTAAGCACCTGTCATGTGCCAGTCCCTCTTCTAATTGCAAGAGCTAAAGCAAATAAGTAAAGATATAATGGGGAAGAATTGACATATAGTGACAATTCAAAATAAATGATACAACAGAAGCCTGCACAAAGTCTTTGTGAGCAAGGAGTGGAGAATAAATAACTGACAAAATGAACCAAGAGAAGATTCATAGGAGAGGTATCAATTGCACTTGGCATTTAATTATGAGGGGCTTAGCAGATGTTTAAGGAGAGGTTCAGAGGCCTAAAATTGTTTAAAAAACTGTTCTGCTTGAAAAACAGTAAAATGCTTTAGGTCTTCTGAAGAAGGCAAGCTCCTGTGTGATGTTGTCATAGAAGATCCTGGGCATCCAGAGAGTAATAGCTGATGTGCAGTTGGTGGCATCATGAAGATCATTAACAGAGAAGATAATTAGGAAGTAAGAAATCCATTGAAAAAATAAGCTATTGACTTACTAGATGCTCTGTTTCTGTATTTTTGTTATTTTCTTTGGCTTCAAGTTAAAAGAATGAACCACTAGAGGTTAAACTTCACTGGAGCATTCTGTCTACTTTGGTCACTGTCAAATTCCGAAGTGTTTAGAAAAGTACCTGGCACATAGTAGCAACTGAATAAATATGTGAATATTTGCAAATTGAAACTTAACGCTATCCAGTAAACATTTATTGAGCACTTGCTGTATGCTGGCACTGTAATATATGTTAGATATGTTTTCTTTTTGCCGGAGAAGATCAAGTTAAAGACAAGTTATAATTATAACAGGTGACAAACAAGCTTTCTCAAAAGACTGGGAAATCTATTAGAACAGCACTGTTCACTCTGGTAGCCACTAACCACATGTGGCTATTGAGCACTTGAAATATGTCTAGTCTAATTTGAGATGAGACGTAAGTATAAAATATGCAGCAGATTTCAAAGCCTTGGTACGAACAAAAGAAGGTAAAAATATCTCACTGAAAATTTTTGTATTAATTGTATGTTGAAATGGTATTATTTTACATATATTGCCATAAATAAAAACGTCATTAAAACTAATCCCCTTTCTTTTTACAGATTTGTGTTTGCTAAAAAACGTAAAATTAAGTTCAGTACAGAATGCAGGCTGGCTCAAGAGAGTGACCAACTGCTTGCTGAAAGTAAGTTTGGTACAGAAGGAAAGAGATACACACTCTACAGACGGACTGTGGGCTGGCTCCAGGAGAATGAGCAATAACCCCACATTCTGCTGGGATTCAGCTTTTATAGTTTTGCCATCTATTTAAGGGGGTGGTTCCCGGTCATGTTACATAGTCTTGCACATGCTCAGTTGGTCCCCTTTGGAGCATGTTCTTTGGTCAAATCCTGTCACATGTACCAGGCATGTTCAAGAATATTCTGTGCTCTCTAGCATCTCTAGTGGAAGGTCATTCACCTACCAGGGTTAGATAACCCTTCTCTACTGAGCATGCCCAGCCACTGGATTTGCATAAGCCAGCCCCCTGTGGTCTCATTTTCCTCTTGCTGGTGCTGAAAATAAGTCTAACTGGCAATAGTAGCTTTCCTATAGGGGAGGGCTTAGAGAAGAGGCCTGAGACCTTGGGGAGTGGCTTGAAACCCAGAGGCATGTCCTGAAACCCAAGCCCAGGGAAACTCAGCACCTCCTATCTCCAAAAAGACTGCAAATTTTAGCAGAGATATCATGAAAGCATTAAAATGGAAAGCAAATAAAACAAAATGATTTTTATTATCAATTCAAGCCTGTCAATCCTATGTGGAATCTAATATCTACAATACTCTGAGTCACATTGATTACACTGCCTTTGACATAGTAAGTTTAAACTGACCAGAATTAGCCTTTCCAAATAATTTATATATTGTAGGGCTATTTGACATAAAAATCTATTCAGTATAAGGAGCTATTCAATCCACCGAACTAAAATTATTCGGTCTACACGCATGCGTGCACACACACACACACACACACACACACACACACACTCCTTTAGGCTAGAAGTAAAAAGAATACAGTGCCTTAACCTCTAGGCTTTGTTCCCACCTACTCCCAACCAGTGGTACATAGTTTCCTGACAGGTATATATGCTCTCTCTTTCTCTGGCAGCTGCCTACACTTTCACTGTGGACTGAATTCAACATGAGGGCTCTCATCTGAATGATGCCCAGAGTTCCGGGCTGTTTCTAACATTGGGAGAATGGAGAGACAGCATTCAAGTTTGTAGTGAGAGCAAGAGCCATCAAGCAATAAAAAAAGCACAAGGTTTATATACCTGTAATGAGAACTTCTATTTCTGTGATTGGTTCCCCTGGAGTTGGTGTTATTTCCTTGCTACAACTGGCTACATGCAAAATAATTGATGTGATGTGTTGACATGCAATTTAACTCATGGATGTGTTGG